GACTCTTATTCTTTTTTATTCTTTTTTGTTAAGAGCGGTGCATGTAGAACTCAGTATCAGGTGACTTTTATTCGTTGTGAAAGCCTAAACTTTCTGTCTTATTGGCTATACAAAAAGCATACTTCTTAGGAAATGGAGCAGAGGCAGGCGGAAAATGGTCAGAAAACCATTTATTAAATGTCAGCACTCTTGTACAAGTTCTGATCTTGACTCAACTTTCCTACAAGGTAGATCTAACTTGACCTATTTTGTAGGAGGATACATCAGGTACTTGAGCAAGTTTACCAGGGTGTCACACTGAGCATTGCGAAGCCAGAGCCATAGATGGTACCCAGAAGTTTCAAGTCAGTTATGTTGCAGATTGCAAAACAAAGTTGATTTTGGTGGATGGGTGTGGCCATCTTTTGTAAGCATAAACTTTCCCTCACCCCTGAGAGGAAAGAAATGATGGATAAGTCTATCTTCAGAAATTCACTACAGTTTCTCTTACAGTGAATTTCTGACTCTGAAAACATGACTCATAAGGTCATGTTTCCTATTGTTTTTAATCCCAGTGTTCTTCGCTGGGGAAGTTTTTAAAACATGCAGAAATGACACTGTGGAAGGGAAGCATTTTTGTCATCTTCCCTTGGTTAAGTGATCATCGGGTTCTGACTTCCAAGATTTACCCAACTTATTTTAATCTGAGCTGGGGTAAATACAGCTTCTTGCTTCTATTAGATGGATTAAGTCTCTTCTTTAGTTTTTACTAGCTAAGACTTATGGCTTGTTGAAGTGTTCTCAGCAGCTTTTTTAGGTTACCTGAATGCAAGAATGCAGTATCTTTGGTTCAGTTGTCATTAAAGCCAAATTATAAACAGCACCTAGTTAAGAAACCTATCAGGAAATGTTGCTATGTTCTTTCTTGCTCAGAGAACCTTTTATATTTTTTTGATAGTCAACATCTGCTGTTTGCTAATGAAGAAACGTAAGAAGCAATCAGTAGTAGAAAAAAGTTGAAGCAGCTAAATGTTAGAATTAAGTATTAGGCCTGGTGCTTCTGCTGCATGTGTTGTGTTCTAGGTCTGCATTACTAAATCCTCTTTTCTGCCACAATTATTTCTCATCTTTTCTGCAACTATGTTGTGTGGGATTTCTGAAGGGGCAGTGACTTCAGTGAGATTCACCTGGCACTGCAAATATGTTATATTCTTCACTTATCTTGGGTACTTTGATGTCACCTGCAGAATCCATAGAGGGAGGAAGCGGTGTGGTAAGACATGCAAGGTTGTTCTCTTCTAAGAAGCTGTTGATGTGGCCTGTTGGCCACCAGTCGCTTCTGAAGCAGAAACCAATTCTGAACTGAGATGGCAGAAAGCACTGACAGATGTGGGAGTGCTGCTTGTTCTTTTTTTCCTCACTTTAAGATAGTTTTTTTTGTGTTTTTGGTGTTTTGAAGGTGGATTCTTCATAGCCTCAAGAGAAATATTTAAATAAAAAGTAGAGGGAGACTCTCAAATAGTTTTCCTTTTACTAGTATCTGCAAACATGAAAACTGTGGTGAACATTTTGAATGTAAGGTGTTTTTTCCCACATCAAACCATCTTATATTACTGTTTTATTACTTAAAGATGAATGGAATAATGTTCCATTAATCTGAACCACTACTGTGTGATTGTCTTATGGTGCATCTCTTCACCAGTTTGTTGGTTGAGAGCTCTTTTTTTTTTTTAAGAAACAAGCTTAAATAAAGCAGATCAGCTGTTGCTTTATTTTTTCAACAGCAACAGACCATTGGATGGTATTTCATATTATTCCTGTTAATCATAGCTGCTGTGTACTGGGGAATACTCAGGTGATTTAATGCTGTGGAATAATTTGCTTTGATTATTTAAGTGCCTATTACCATAGCAGCTGAGTATGATTACAAAAGTGAAAGCTATTAAACTTGAAAAAGCTGTCTGAGAAGATAAATCCTAACAAGAAATGCAGCAACCATTGAAAGACTCAAAAGTTACCCATGCACCCATAACGAAGAGAAAAGGAAAGACACTCCAACGCCCTTCTACTGCATTGCAACTTAACTGTGAAGTATCGTGCCAGTTTTATTTAAAATAATCCTTTCTTCTATGTCATTCTTCAACGGACATAAGGGGATTTTGGTGGGATGTATGTAGAGCGCATGCTTAAGTGCTTGGATTTTATAATGCACTCTTGTACAGCAGTACTTCAGCCAAGAAAAGGAAAAAAGCAACACCACAAAACCACACTTCTTGTTTTAAGAGAAGCTTAACTGTAACAGTGATGCAGATGCTGTATTACGTTTACAGAAAGAAGAATGCAACAACTACAAAAAAAAACCAAAACTATGACAGTCTGTGCCTGTCGGAATTTGCTTTTTAAAATGCATCTTTCAGTTT